AATTACAAAAAATTAATAGATACAGAAAAATTACCAAACAATTTCTTGAGTGGGTCAAACTGTGCCAAATTTAACCATAATATTTAAGGAACAAAAGTGGAATGCGATATAGCTGGCAAACCCTAACCTCCAAAACCCATGACGTGCTCCTAACTTTCCATGATCTTATCTCATTGGCGGTTCAAAAGGAGACAACAACCACCTTAACACTAACATATGTAGCCAAAACATCGAAACTCGATTCTCAATGCAACCGAGTTTATCTTCTAGTGGTACATTCTTTGTTTTCCTGTGACATTTCCTGCCACGTCATTAACAAAACGATAAACTAAGAATAGGCCCACCAAAATAGGGCTGCCAACGTGGAAGAATAAACTTTTTTTTTTTTTTTTTAAATAATAGTAGTTCAATTTTTTATAATTTTAAATTATATTTTTATTTAAAGTAAATTACACTCACACTCCTGAGTTTTTTGTTAACGTCACGCAGCGAACGATCAATGCCTAAAGTTTTAAAAGTTTACATACACATCCCCTATAGACCTTTGACACTTAAAAAAATGACCATTTAGCCATTTGACTTGGTCAACAAATACATAAAAAAGTATAAATTACCAATATAACTCAGTAAACTAAACTAAATTTATACATACCACCACTGTCCTAAATGCCACCACCATGATATGTTGCGGCGGTCCTTGAACCACTACAAATTTCTCTCTGATTGGGGCTATAGACGCCTCTACACCGTCATCGTCAGCTATACCTTCGCCGTGAACCCAAATGAGACGTGAACGCTCCGAGAATCAAGAATGGATGGCTTACCACTCATGGTTCTTCAGACCCGGTTGGTCCAACAACAAGTCCAAGTTCCAGCGGCGGGCCGCAAACTAGAGAGAAGAAGAAGCCATCAGATCGAAGTACACCAGGTCCAAGCTTGGCTCTCCAGCGAACTGCTCAAATGACTTTGAAGCTTAGAGTGGGTGGTCCAACAACTTACTCAGGCCCTTATCAGCGGCAATAACTAGTTTCTCCATCGACTTCTTCTTGACGGACCTCCGATCCGGCAACGAATTTTCCCATGATGTCAACGGAAAAGGCAAGGGAGGTCACTTGAGACCGACATTATGGTCTTGGGGTTTGAAGTGACTTGGCCCGAGATGTCGACGGTAAAGGCAAAAGAGGTCATTGGGTTAGATCTATTGTGCGGTGTTGTAGTCAGGAATGATTTAAAACAACAAAGTTTCTAGCAGCGCGCCTCCAAGCAACTGAGGTGAAATTCTTGGTTGGTTGATGATTGGAGATAGTTGCGATCTCTAATGCCTCTTTTTCTCATACCCTCTCTATGTATTTCCGGTGGGAGGAGGCGGCGGCGTCGGTGTAGGTCGTAGGTGGTGGTGGATAAAAAAAGAAAAAGAGTTGTGTTTTTTTGGGAGATAGAATTGAATAGAGATAAAAAGTTGTGTTTTTTTGTGGTTTGGTCTTTTTTTATTTTTTTATTTATGGGTGCGGTGGTGGTGGTGGTGGTTGTGGTTGTGGTTGTCTGTGCGTGTTGGTGGTGGTTGAGAGAGGGGATTACAGAGAAGAAAGATATGGAGTGTATTAAGGTGAGTGAGGGTTATTTTGATAATTAATAGATTTGTTAGGTTGTAAATTAACTGAATTAAATAATCAGGGGTAAATATGACTTTTGAAATCTCAGAAGGTGTCAATGTAAATAAGTACGTTGACTATCCGTTGAGTGGCGTTGATCAAAAATTAAGGGAGTGCGAGTGCAATTTATTCTTTTATTTAATAATTTATAATTTTAATTTCAAATCTACAATTATATGTAAGTTGAATAAAGCGGGAAGGTACAGTATAATAATGACGGGTAAGCATTTTGCTCTAGTCTTTTTTAAGAATATTTCTTTGTAAAAGTCGTTATTTAGAGTTTATAAAAGCATAATTTTTATTTTTATTTTTTATTTTTTATTTATTTTTTTATTTTTTTAAAAAAGCTAAGCCTATTTAAAACCAAAGTAATGGTACGAAGAAAGTTTTCTCATGATAAACATTAAATTGAGACTTTTATTTTTCCAATTTTTATTTGAGATTTCAATAATATTTTAATGGTCATAAAACGGAGGGGCATAGTTGTCATTTCAAAAGGATATCTTGGGATTTTCGGTAATTTTGTTAATGGTCATTTTTTGGAGCAATTTGCATGTATTTTTCAAATGTTAAGACTGGATTGGGAAAGGGGTTTGCTGCATACTTTGTACATAACTGAGACATTTCTTGCACATTAAATTTTATAAAAACATGAAATTTCAAAGTGATTTTTTATTTGTAAAAAGTTTAACCTATTTATAAATGTAAGTAAAGTCGTAATTTATAAATTGTATGGTCAATGTATATCCTTTAAATCACTTAAGTCATGTAGGGATGCATACGGTTCGAATTGTATTAATTCAGAATTATTTTTTTACCAAATTAATTTTAACGATTTCATTAAAATTAGAACCAAATTAGGCCATGAAACTGGTGTAATCGAACCGTGAAGGAACAATTTGGTTTGATTAAATTATAACCAAACTAGATCGTGAAACTGATTTCACCGAATCGTGTAGGAACAATTTGGTTCTTTTTTATTTGTTATAACTCAGTGTAATAACTATCTGTAGGTGCAATTTCTCACACCCGAACACTTAAAGAAATAAATTGAAAAGAAATACACAAAATATAAATGAGACAACAGACAATTTTGAAGAGAGGAACAATAATGAGGATTCGATGATCTTTCATTCTCATTCATGCTCTATTTATAGGCTTTATTCAGAGAATTACATGGAGCCGTTTTCTGGCTTTATTCCCAAACGTGGATATTTATGCTTACTAATAGTGTGCGTATTTCTTTTATGGCAGGCGTTATAGACTTATGGGCCTGCTGAGATTGGGCTGTCCATCGATTTTTATGTCAAGCGGAGCTTCCCTTGTTTAATCGGACTGAGTTGACATGTGTGTGTGGTTTCTGTGGTTGGGATCCCAATTGATGGTGGACTTCTAAGTGATTTTAGTTAGTAATGGACTATTCTTTTGTTGCCACGGGATGTATTGTGGTTGGTGGAGATTTTTCCCCCCACACTATCTCAGTTTTAATAATTCAACTTGATAACCTTTATTTATTATTATTATTTTATTATAACATGACCAAACTACAATTTAAACCCCTCACCAAATATAATTCTAAGAATATCCCATTCTTCAAATAAAATGCGTCTTAGTGGTAAGGACTGTGTGGACATGGGACATAATGCATCGGGCATGTGATTTATACAAAATTAGACTGAAAATGTACACCCATTTTTACTTAGTCCATCTAAAAATTAGGATTACTTACACAGATTTCATTATAATGATCAAAACGACACTAAAATTGAAGGGTTTTAAATAAATAATAAAAAAAATTATCAAAATACCATCAAAACATTTGTACGAAATATTTACCAGACTTTACACTATCCATCGGGACAGTTTATGTGTAGTTAGGATTCGAAAGCGTGTCGGAGGAGGGAGTGGGCGAGGGAGGGGACCGTCTGGTAGCGGTGGAGGGAGAGAAGCCGTTGGAAAGGCAAAACAGGCTGGACTGAAGAGAAAGGCAGAGAGTATTGATTGGACCTCCGATTGGGGGACCAATCTTGTCGTTTTGTGCCACCTCATCAATTCTCATCGGCCGTTTTATTTGTTGATAAGATTTTCACAAAAATACAAAAAATAAATAAAAAACAAAAAAAGGGAAAGGTCAAAAGATCCTCCCACACGGAAAAGAAAATGCTCTCCAGGCTGGCCTCTTTTTCTTCTCCATCTCTAGTCAAAGTTGATGGGTTCAATTCCAACTCCACCCAACCGTTATTATCCTCTTTCAGCTCTCAACTACTATTATCATAATTCAGTTTATATAATATATTTTATTAGAATAACCTTTACTCCCGTCATAATTTGTCACGTATCGGTTTCGCGTATCGGTGAGTTCATAACTCTTTATTAAATATTGAATACCGTTATACATTTTTATAAACTCATCAATATTTATTCGAATCTATTATACCGACATTATAAATTATAGTTCCGGTTATGATTGGGACATTGTGTAGAGTGTTTTCTTCACACATGATAAGATAAAGCTTGGACTTTTTTCTTTAGATGTGGGCTTAAAAAGTTATTTAGACTCAAGAAATATCTAACTTCATGTTGATGAATATTTTATGAGAAAAACTTTCTTACACCTACGTCTGTAATATTACATGATCAATTATATCTTTATCATATAAGAAAAAGTGCATGTAATTATTCAGTGAATCTTATCGCCACATGTCAGCGTTCAATTAATTAATAATACTATATTATCAAAATAATGAAAGTTTTAAGGGTTTTTTTTTTTTTTTTTTTTTTTTTTTTTTTTTTTTTTTTTTACAACCTTTAAAACCACGGATTTTAGTGCACTTTGACATATAAATCTACAACTTTTGTAACATAATGTAATCTACGTGCATAAAATTTTAGAATGAAACTTAATTAGTTGAAAATATTCCCTCCATATCAAAATAGATCTCCATCTTACAAATTGTGGGAGACTATACAAAATGAAACTTAATGCAGTAAAAATATACAAAATGAAACATAAAATTGTAATAGTATAATGTAACTTTTTTTTTTTTTTTGGGAAATAAAATATCTAATCTAAGTACATGGAATTTAAAAATGAGATAGAAGGTAGAATCAAAACTTGAAAAATGTAGAGAGTGACATGCGTACGAGTTGACGAAGAAAAGTAGTAAAGAACGACGAGTATGTGTAAATCATCCCAGGTTTGACGTGACGCGTGTACGTTTTAACAGCTGTATCCCAAATACAACGTACAACCGGTGCCCATAACGTCCACAACCCACCATTCCCACCGGCTCAACCGGTCATCCCTATCCCCCACTCTCTCTTGTATAAATACACGTCACAGAACCAAACTAGTTTTTGTATTGAGTTTCTGAAATGGAAGGGGGCACAAGAAGGAAAGATACGGATCGGATCAAAGGTCCATGGAGCCCCGAGGAGGACGAACTGTTACAGAGACTGGTTCAACACCACGGGCCTCGGAACTGGTCTCTGATCAGCAAGTCCGTACCCGGAAGATCCGGGAAGTCGTGCCGGTTACGGTGGTGTAACCAGCTCTCGCCGGAGGTCGAGCACCGGACGTTTAGTCCCGAAGAAGACGACATCATTTTGAGAGCTCAGGCCAAGTTCGGGAACAAGTGGGCCACCATCGCCCGGCTCCTGTCGGGTCGGACCGACAACGCCATCAAGAACCACTGGAACTCCACGCTCAAGAGGAAGTGCTCGTCGATGAGTGCTGACGATGACCATGTTCCGAATCGGCAAGGTCTGAAGAGATCCGTCAGTGACGGGTCGGGTGTTCCGGTTCCGGACTTCAGTCCGAATAGTCCTTCCGGATCCGATACCAGTGACTCGAGCTTCCATGTCATGTCTTCGTCTTATGTTTATAGACCTGTCGCCGGACAACTCGAAACGGCGTCGTCTGCTTACGATCCTCCTACTTCTCTGAGTCTCTCACTTCCTGGAGTTGACTCGTGCGGTGACTTAAATCGAGGTGCCGAGTCAACTCAGTCAACGAATCCGATTCAGCTGATGCCGGCGGCGGCGCCGATGCAAGAGGTTCCGGTGAATCGGCAGAGTGGGAAATTTGATTTTGTTTCTCCGGTGGTGGTGGAACGAGGGAGTGGAGAGTTCGGGGGAGTGTTGTCGTCGCCGCCGTTTGGGGCGGAGTTGATGGCGGTGATGCAAGAAATGATAAGGAAGGAGGTGAGGAGTTACATGGTGGGGGTTGAACAAAGAGGTAGTGGTGGTGGTGAAGATGGATTTAGGGTTGGAAACGGTTCGATGAAGCGAATGGGAGTGAGTAAGATACAGTAGTGAGTCTAGTGAGTGAGTGGAGTGAGTTTGGGATGAGAAAGAAACGATCTTTGTTGCTATCTCTCTCATGGTAGAAAATGGTTTTTGTCCATGTACAGGTAAGACTCAGAATGAGGTAAAGAGTGAGAGAATGAGAGATGAAGAATGGAAATATCAAAAGGCTCTTGTTTTATCATAGTATGTTTTAGGAAATAAAAAAAAAAAAAAAAAAAAAAAAAAAATTTGATAACAATCACCAAGAAAGAACACAAATTCCTAAAGTTAAATCAGAGTTAATCTTTACCATTCTAACAATTATTTGTGAGTGTTATTTATGCATGCATATCCTCCCTGAAAGAAAGGATAAGAATGGACTGCTACCATTGCTGGGAGAATCTGAATTGTGTTTTCTATAACGTATCACAATTCGCAACTCCTTACATTGAAAAATGCTTGGAAAAACCTTTCAAATAAAAAAAAGGTTGAGAAGTTCTTGTTTGAAGAATATAAATGATGATCAGAAAATATTCTCCCGTTAAATCTCAAATTCCAAAAATAATCGTATCAAATACATATATCCTAATGCACCTTTGGATTGAATTCTAAACCGTTTAAAAACGGTTTTATTTGGGCATTATTAAGTGGTTTGAGTGTCCCGACTTCCAAGCAGGTGTACCATTATTCGAGTTTGGAGTGACATCAATAAAAGCTGCGACATTAGACAGTTGCCTAAACCTGAATTCAGGTCCTTTTAGAGATTTCACCTTTCTAGGGTTTCCATGTCAAAATGTTGTCTCTCAATGTCACCAAATTGTTGGGTATTTTACAGCCTACCTCTTCCAAAATCCTTTCGGAGGGAAACAAGTGTGTAGAAGAGGCGGCTCTTTGACTAGGTGAGAAGACAGAAGGTGTTAATGCTGAACAAGTTAATCACTATAATTGAAGCCATTGTTGTACTTCTGAATGATGTCTGAAAATGGTTACCAAGTATCTATTGACAGAGATATACAGAAGACAAAACAATTAATCATTGTGTTCACTTCCGGCGAGTTGAAGATTTACTTTATATCATATATCATCAGCCATTTTCAACCATGTTCTTCCTATTTAGTCTCTTCCTATTTACACACATAATAAAAAATTAATCACAAAAAAATCAGCCTACGGTTAAACTCATCATAAGGGTGCAGCCTGGATTGTGTTCGGAGTAGCGCCACGCCTCGTAAGAGACTTAATTACAGATTTCAATTTACCCAGTGTGTCCAGAAGGTCCTGCCTCCATGACCATGTTGGGTCATTTAAAGCACGGATAGAATTGAGGCAAACTATAAGTGTACCCCCCTCATGTAAAAGAACCTGCATATTTACCAAAGAAAAAGTAATGACAACGATATCGATTATGGATATAGAGCAGAAACAAATTGAAGAAATGAGAGAGATTTGAGGAAAAAAATTTCATTCATGCAAAGGCATTTATTTTATAATAATGGGAGAGTTAATAATGTCAATTCTATGTTTACATTCATCAACTGAGGACTAAAACAAGGCATCATGACAGTGTGCAAATGAGGACTATAACTTACCTACAGCAACTGTTTCACTAACTCCCTTTGAGTGTAAAATTTACTGGTATGAACCTAAAAGGTTGACGCTAAAGGTGTTCACTCGAGCCTAGCCTCTTCACACGTGCTTCTTGAAAGATTGGGCAGGAAATTTTTTATGGTGATTTTATCTACTATTGACACTACAAACAACAAAATAGGATAGGGAGATGTAGGCGCATTAACTTCTCAACAATATAGGATCGAGGGATATAACACATGAACCTAGAGAATTCACGTGGCCTACATTATTCATCTGAGAAAAAGGCAAGGATGATGATGAACTTCTCAAGCAGCTATTTTTAAAAAGTAGCTTTATACCGATGAAAATGGAAATGGACAGTTGATGGAGAACGTGATAGGATCCACGTGTCATGTACGATACTCACTTATACTAGGCATAGGTGCAATCTTACATTCTAGGGATTTATTTCAGGAGTTATTTTTAGGGATTTAATTTCTGTATTCATTTGGTGGTTGAGTTTGATATTTATCTCCTGCTTTCGATTTGCCTATGTAGAACAAATTATTGGTAGTATATTGGAATTGTTATTTGTGGGAGAATTAGTAAGATTACAGGCGCCTATATATATATACATATTCCGTTCTCTTCTCCCCTTCTTTTCATTCCCCTCTTCTTCTATTTCGCTCTCTTCCAACATCAACAAGTTGATACACTCGCCAAAAATAAAGGTTGATACAAGATAATGTAAAGAGATTTCTAGTAATAGGCATCGAATAAAGGACATTGCCACTTGGCATTTTTTTGGGACAAACAAGGGTTTTTTAGTAGCTTTTCTTAATATTATTTTGTTTCAAGAATACTGAACTGGACATATTTGGTTTATTTTGATGTCCTTGTTAATATTTTGAAGAAAATTGTGTCAGTTATAAATAACGCAGGGAATGGATACACAATTGAGCCAATGCAAAATTTAACTATAACTATTTTTCTGTTAGGCACAAATCATCCTAATTTGGATTCACAAAAATTGCCATTACACTCGCATAACTATAGCAATGGTACAGTCCATCCTACCACAGCTGTGAACTTATTATGGGCATTTGCATCTTCTTTTGTTCCTTTTACTCGCATAACTAGGATTTATTTGATTCAAAGGCTGGATTTAATTATTACTTATGATGTAATAGAAAAGGATCCTGGAAGGTTTTTTTTCATTGTTGGTCAGACAATTTTTATTTATCTAAGGATCCACATTTAACTTCAACATTCTGTTTTCAGAAAGGGCTTCCGCGCCCTAATTACACAAGTCTAGTGTTGAGGAAAGGGGATAGCCAAGTGTTTGATGTTAAAGTGATTCACATGGTTGGGAGTACGAGTCTTTGGCCTTAAGCTATCTATCCCAAGCAGAGGCAGTAGAGAAGACACCATATTTGCTTGGAATCAGAGGAAAAATTGGGAGGGGTGGGGTGGCAAGGGAGCGTATGGAATGAGTCTCCTTGATACACATGAAAAAGTGAAAGGTAAAATGAAGGGGAAGTGAATCCCTCTGGGTCCACTGTTTTCTCTGTCCAAAAGGGGTCAAAAAGGATGAAGGAGAAAAATCAAACCATTTACAATTTTGCCCTTCAAATAATATCCTCGTGTAAATATGAAGGGGATAGTTGAAAAATAAAGTGGATCCTCTTGACTGAATGTTGTCGGGTACTGTTTAATTCCCCGCCATTCTTGTAACTGTCACCTGTAATCCGCGCAGGTGTGTCCGCACCCGACCCCCCTTAGTGGATGAGAAAGAAAGGATTTCTCGGAGCAACCCCTAGGTTCCAGACCCAGGAGTCAACTTTCCCGTATCAACATTTGCTACATCTCAGTCTGTGGAAGAGTGAAAGGGTCACCACAACTCAGGATCTCCCCCCTTTGACAACACGAAAAAACCATTGTTCAACTCTTTGACAACATGAAAAAACCAAAAGCTCTGCCCTCCCTCTCTATCTATCCAAGGGATGGAAGGGCAGAGGCCTTTGGTGTCCCCTCCAGTCCCAAACTGTACAAGCTTCTTCCAAAGCATACGGCTTTCTGGATGTAGATGACGATATCTATACAGATGGATCTTATATATATCGTATAATGAAGTACCACACGAGTGGAATCTTTCTATTCCGTACATACTCGTTCCTGAGCTTTTTGAAATAAATAAAGCGGGTATAGTCTTTGGAACAATAATTAGCATCTTTATTTAAGAAAGAGGAACCTCATGTAAATACCATCGAATAAGATTTGATCCTATTCATGGAGATTCCGTAAATATTCCATTCCAAAAATAGAAAGTAAGCTTAGATAGGTCCTCTGAGGGTTCGCTGCTGTACTTGCACAATAGGCTACCCTCACATATTGCGCACCACCTACCACTAGCCAGACGTTCTTGGCCAGGTTTCAGAATGGAAGAGAAGTCATGGAATGAACTCAATTGGCTACATATGATGAGTGGATGGACAAGCAAAAAGGATAGTCTAAGACTCTTCAATATGGATTTATACTTGGAATTCAGAAAAATCTGAAATGCTCCCACTCTGCATGGCAGGAGAGGTAGGATGGAGAAGACGGTTGCCATATAGATGTTCTATCAAGTCTTAACCCTCCAAAAACAAAAGTGAACAGAGACGGTTCAGTAGCAATAGACGCTGCTGCAGCTGCAATAGCAAGGGACTATCAGCCATTGTCTTTGGGCTTTCTCCCAAGTACTAAAAAGTGTATCATGCTTGAATCTAACTAGGGTTCGCGGTGGTGGAGGACTTGGATCGGAAGAAAGAGGAATTCTAGTTGGAAGATATCTAATGAAACCGTTGCTGGAATTAAGATCTTATTCAAAGAGATAAATATCAAATATTTGGAGTTTCGTTTTGTCATTTATACACTACCTTGAAGCATTTTTTCACAAATAAAAGCCACTATGACTCGTATAGCTAGAACCCAAAATTGTCATATATCTTCCCTAGCATAAAAGGCAACATGAAACACAAAAAGAAATCAGGTCTGCAAATCAAAATATCCAATTAGATCATAATTCATACCGTTAACCATAACGGAAGAAACCCCAAAACTGATGTAAGAGAGGCCAAAATAATGCTAGATAATGCAAGTGCCACATTTTGTTTGACCTGAAAAGTATAGAGGCATAGAACACCGATCACAAGGTGGACAGAAAATAATAATGACGACACTGAAAAGAATTTAGAAAATACCAGGGAAATTGTTTGACGAGATTTAGCGATACAGAATGGAACGCCAGAGATATTGTCCTGCAACAGCAGCACATCTGCAACGGCTATAGCAGTTGCACTAGCACGTTGAGCTAGCACAATTCCCACTGTAGCAGCCGCAAGTGCTGGGGCATCATTGATACCATCACCTACCATTATAAGACCACCACCTGTAAAAAAGTTCAGATTTATTCAGCAAACCATTGTAAGTGCCTGAAGACAAGTTTTAAATAAAGGATGTCAGAACTTCACATGAAGCCTTCAAAAGAAAAAAGTTTTTCCAAATATAGGATTGGTCAAACAACATGCAGGATGGATAAATAAATAAAAAATCTTGCCATGGAAGATGCATAATATAATAACATAGAGTTTTCTATCCATAAGCAACAATATTTCACCCAACACAGAGATAGCAAGAAAAAATAAAAAGCAGCAACACTGCATCCTGGTTTGTTATGATACAGTTATTATTATTATTATTTTTTAGGGTAGTTTGCACTCAACCTACCATCACACTCTTTAACATATATCAACCACAGCAATCACTATACTTCCCATAACTATTTTTTTTTTGCTTGAAAGATATAACTACATCCCAACACTCTTCATACATCACCAACCCATCCATTCTTCTCCTTGCACCATACTTCAATAATCACCCTTTTGCACCACCATATCCTTGTTCACCATTTCATATAATTCCAACAGTTAACACATCACCGTTCTCACAGCACCATCCTTGCACCACCCTACCTACCATTATACTTTTTAACCTATATCATCCACAGCACTCAGTATACCACCCGTAACCCTCTAATCTGCTATAACTTATCTGGAAACATTCAACCCAAGCCAACAGAAAACCCACAAAAGATAAGCAAGATGCTAAGAAGAGAGTGGACAAAGGTTTGTTGTGGCCAAAAAGGACAAAATAGATATAAAGGACAAAGCAGGAAAAAGTAAGAGAAAGCCAAAGAATAATCAAAGAGAAGACGGAATTTGTCCAAAGAGGAACTATAGAGAAAAGTTTAAAAGAAAGAAAAAGACAAAAACAAAGAAAATAAGGCTTGTTGGAAGATTGGACTTGTTCAACAAGGCTTTGTTGGATAAATGGTTATCGAGGTTCGGGTGCGAGAGGCCCCGTTTATGGAGGAGAGTCATTGTTTGCCGGTTTGGGGAGGGTGATGGTGGGTGGTCTTCTAGGGAAGTGAGGTTTCCAACAGGTATGGGCATTTGGAAGCTTATCCGGAAGGGGTGGGATTAGTTTTCCAAACGTATTCGGTTCAAAGTTCAGAGTGGGAACCTAATTAGGTTTTAGGAGGATCTTTGGTGTGGAGACATTGTTCTGGCTTGTAGGTTCCCCCAGTTCATGATTTGTTAGAGTAGACATGCTTTGGTTGCTGACTGTTATTGTCTTGATAGTGGAAGATTGACTTTGGATGTGCAGTTTCATAGAGAGTTTAATGATTGGGAGCTTACGGAGGTTCCTGAGTTACTAGCTCTGCCCCATAGCCAGGAGGTGGAGGGGGTGGGGATTGATGAGATTGTGTGGACGGGTCCGCCAAGGGGGGTGTTTGAGGTTCGGGCTTTTATCATAGTCTTGTGGAGTTTCCTGGACATTCCCTTCCCATGGAAGGTGATTTGGAGGTCGAAAGTCCCCTTGTGCGCTGTGCTCATGGAAGCATTCTCACTCTCGACAACCTCAGGAAGAGAAAGCATATTGTAGTTAATTAGTGTTGCAAGTGCAAGAGGGCAGAGGAAACTGTGAATCACCTTTTTCTTCACAGTCCAGTGGCGAGGGATGCTTGGGCTTTGGTTTTTTGTTGCGTTTGGTGTGTCTTTGGTGTTCCCAAGATCCACAATGTAGTTGGTTGAGGCTTGGAAAGAGTGTCTAATGGAGAACCGAGTCAAGGATGTTTGGAGGTTTGTTTACGGTGGGGTATGTGGCGTGAGAGGAAGAGGAGATCCTTTGAAGGAGAGAAGACTCCTATTTGGACTCTCAATCCAAATATGGTATTCTTCATACTTTATTCTTTTGGGTTAATGGGCATAGTTGTACATCTTTGGGGCAACTTTTGGACTTTGTGGACAACTTAAAACTTTAGTGTAGTGTGACGACCTCTGTGGGCGGGTGTGATGTGGGCGAGCACTGGCAGGCTACAGGGTGTCATGATCCTACATCGCCTGGGAAAGGTGAAGTGCTATATGTAGGTTCTACATCCTTCTATGATATAACGCATTTTAAAGCCGTGATGGTCAAAAACCTATCAGAACTCCAAAGTTATGCGTGCTTAACCTGGAGTAGTACCATGATGGATGACCCTCTGGGAAGTTTGGTCTGGGGGAGCCAAAAGCGGACAATATTGTGTCTGTACAGGGTGAAGACTGTTACATGTCGCCTCTGGTGTCGGGTGTATTCCTTGGGAGCGCTCCCCCTTAGGCTTTTTTTTTAATGAATTTTTTTGGTAAAACAACTTATGTTTATGGGATATGGGTTTGAAACAATTTAATAGCTGGATTTTTAAGTTGATTGATGAAAAATTCGAGATATGGTGTTACAGCAATGTTATAAGTAGATTTTGGGAGTTGATCAATGAAAAATTTCACCACCCTAATATCCGCATTTTATAAAAGTCCATTACACCAGACGTCTCCATATTGCAAAACTCTACAGTCAAGGTGGCCCCATTACCACCTATAAAACCTTGCTTCGAGTACATTATATAAACTATAGATAGCCCAGAATGAATTATAACATGTTACATACGACTCCATTAATGGGACCATTATCATTAATGGAAGTTTGAAAAGCAATTCACATTTTCCGATCTAATAACAGGAATAAGTTTAAAAGCTATAAACTTCTGGTAGAATCCAACTTAATGTATATATAACGTAGATACTTTTATGCTTCCAATTACAAGTTAACATGCTATAGCTTGAGAAATATCAAATGAAGAGAAATCCTATAATTCAATCATAAATTGGAAAAACTTGAAAGAAACACAGCACTAGGAGTGATAAATTTTGACATGACCCACCAATATGAAGAGAACGCACAATGAAGTTAGCGGGTTTGGGTTAACCTTAAATATTTATATCATAATCATGTCAACCTGTTTAACCCATTCAATTAATTGTGTCGTGCTCATATTTTGGAGCTCAACCCTTTTACCCCAATTAGACTCGTATAACAAATCATGTCATAACGTGTTATTCTAACCCAATTAACCTATAACCTCTTTTAACCCAATTATTATGGACATTTTTGTTATTTCAATATATACTCAACATGGATATTGTATTGTCCTTTTCTTATGGTAATTGTATTGTCCTAATTGTCCTCATTTTCATGAATTTAGTTATCAATTATATAATTTTTTCATTATATTTTTATTTAATCCTTAAAAACATGTTAACAAATGGGTTACATGACCAATTTAATTTAAAATAGATTATCAAATGACCGTCGCGTCGTGTTGTGAATTACACGACCCATTTATTAAATAAGTTACATGGGTCGTGTCATGCTACTTGTTTAATAAACATGTCGTATTCGTGTAAAAATGTTTCTGACATGATTATTAAACAGGTCGTGTTTGAATTTGACCTATTTAACATAATATTATTAGGTCGACACGACATAAATATGACCCACCAACATGAATTGCCACCCCAAGTGTTGAATTAGGCCACGAAGATGATGATTAGAAATCCGACCTGCATATCTCGAAATCCTTGTCACATGATTTAGCTTATCCTCAGGCTTAAGGCTGCAATAGACCTCATTGATGCCCACAGTATTCGCAACTCTCTGTGCACTTGACTCATGGTCACCGGTTAGCATCATTACACGGAGCTTTGCTTGATCATGTAATGTCCGTATCACATCTATGGCACCACGTCGAGGTTTATCCTCAAAGTGAAATAGTGTAACCTGCACACAAATCAAAGACTCAATTCAGAGTTCAACATTTAGCACCACTAGAAGTTTGATGAAAAATATGATACAATAGAATTAACAGGTTGTATTCGATGCAAAAGCGAACTCAAAATTGAAGAGAAGATTCATCCGATATCAGCTTTCTGATTGTCCTTTCTTTTTAATTGGTTGACATACCTTTTATTTATTTTTTATTTTTTGTTTATTTTACGAAAGATATATTCACACAACCACTTTGTCCCAATTGGTAATTGAACCCTCAACCTACTCTTAGAAGGTGGAGGATATACGAACTAATGCTTGGTGGTATGCTGGTTAGCATATCAATCAGCACAAACATGATAAATGGATGACATAACAAATGCTTAATAAGAAATTGGGAAAAGGCTTGATTGTTGTATTCATATATGTGTGCGTATATATTGGCTACATTGTAAAAAAAAAAAAAACCCAAAAAATAAAAGGGTTCTTTGACCCTAGTTGTTAACATTTTTTTTAAAAACTTTTCTTGATAAGATTTGCCATATATTCGTATAATTTATTATGCATAGCATACTTTACATTAAGGATTTTTTGTTACAGTTAGCAGAAAATGGTGTCGATTATTGATTAGTTACTTTGTTTTCTTATGCATTTTCACTTACTACAAAGAAATTGGTGACAAAAAATTATCAAGTCAACTAGAGGCAATATATTTTACATCAACCAAACTGTTACCTAGTTCCTTCTACCAAAATATGCACGGACACGGGAAGAATTGATTTGTCTTCATGCAACTCAATAACATTGCCTATCAAATTTTGATTAGTTAAAATAAAAATAAAATTAACTTAACACTTAGAAGCCAGCCAAACATGATTAATTCAGTCACAACCACTAAATCAAGCCTTCAATACCTCCACATCACAAAATTGCACCAAAATCAGTTTTCACATCATCATTACTTTCAATCAAAATTTAGGAAGCTTTTGTGTCCAAGAACTCTTATTTGAGATTCTCATGTTTGTAAAGAATATGTTAGAATATAATTTCACAAGCTTCAGGGACCAAGTAAGATAAACAGAGCAAGCAGCAGCAGAAAAAATGGCTCCAAAACCTTAGCAACAAGTTTTTCATTGGGCATACCACAGGGGCTTCTGTGCTAAATCATCAATGCAACATCTATAGTCCATTAATGGGCAACCCCGATAACTGATATGATCAAGACCATCCAGAATCAAACAATTACTCTTCTTCTATAGAATCTAATTATCAACTAGTGTGCCCGTACCAATTCTATCATGTCAGCAGCACAGGTGTCTCTAAAAGCCATGATCACATCTGATCATTTCGATTGTATACTCTGTTTATCTTTTCTTCTTTTCTGTTTAACTTTCTGATTTCCCATTTTTATATTTCTTTTTCTTAACCTTTTTATCGGCCCATTGCTTTTAGAGGGAGTTTTTTTGTCAAGAAAGCGGTGTTTTTGGTCAATAGCTTGATGGATGAAGGCCAATTTCAATAGTGTTGACTTTAGAGTGTTTCACAAACCACCATGCGGTGAAAATTCAACAAAATGAAGTAGTCCCACATTTCATGCCTCGGCCTAATACCTTAGGCCAAAAAATAAGGCAATTTTATGCACATTTTCAAGTAAGACAAGAAAGATAAATCGTTTAACCAATTAGATAATGCATTGTCAACCACACATATTATGAAATAATATATACGGAGTAAATAAACATCTAACCCTACAGGAACATCTTTATACCAAAGTTCTCTCAAAAGATTTAACATCAATATCATTCTCACAAATAATTACATCACCTTTTTGTTATTAATGGAGAGTGCAGCACGAACAAAATCACTTCCATGAGATGAGGTGCTCACGGCCTCCTTAATTATTTTTGATTCACCTTCAGAGTTGAGGAGTGAAGTGATGTACTCCACAGAACCAAGTGAAGCTTTCAACAATCTGCCCTCTCCCAATCCTGGCTATAACATAGAAATCAAGAGCGACTTTACTTCGCCTGACTTAGCAGAAAAGAATATGAAGAAAACAGACCTAAACAAATTAAACAGTTGTGTAATCTACTCAAAACATCGTGAGATGCCTTTCTAAATGAAAGTAGCTCATGTAAGAAAGAGACAGAGTTCGTATGTACTGGGATGATCTAAGAAACAACAGACAAGTGCAATAAGAAAATGTTTTAAAAGAAGATAGGCGATAGATAAAACCTTATAAATAGAAAAGCCAGTTCCATAAAGAACTAAAAGCGGCAGCATCTTTGATAGAGTCAAATTCTCAAAAAAATGGAAGGGAATAATGTCATTTTTATCAAATCTCCGGTGTGGTGCTTGAAAGATGAATGCTCGCAGCAAAGCAAGTTGAACAATTTATGTACATTTAAAAAAAAAAAATCATTTATTTAATCTTCATGCAATGGTAATATATCCCATTAGCTATACTATTGAGAAAAACCAATTAGATTTGTGTGCTAGTTGCTAGTATAAGATCAAATTTCACAAGTGGTATTATGCAAATACAACAACTGGCATAAGATCATCTACTATTTAGATAACTTTTTTCGAGGCATTCTTATTTACTTAAATTGAGTGTAAGAACAAGTATTCAGGTTGGACCTCTCTAATAGGCCTATATGTTGGGAAGAATGTATTTACACCCAAAAATATATAATCCATGGTGGAACGATGAAATCCAACAAATAGAGTAAAAGTTAAACAGCCGACAATAAAATATAGAACCTAATAGCAACCATTTAGGGAAGAAAAGGAAAAACTGAAACAAAATCTATTAGCCTTCCCAATTAAGTGAAATAAAGACTTATCTGAGTAAAATTTCTGTGAATATAACATTTTTGCTATTGGAGTAAATGTAAATGACCAACAGGAAGTTAGTAATATGCTGATGTTGAACACACTACCTCAATGCTAGATAGTGTTGCAAAAAGACCTCTACCAGGTAAATTCTCAAAACTTTCAACAGAGATGGAAGGAAGGTCTTTCCCTATGCTGTGATCCACAACAGCTCTGCAGCAAACAAAGGAGGGGAAAAAGGAACAAGTGGTAAAAAAATTCCCAAGGTAGCTAAACATTAAATAATCATGTCCAAGCATAATAGAAAAACTACATTAGCATAAGACAATTAAATGATAATGCAAAAAATTCATAAAACATTCAAATAAAAACTTTAACAGATCAACAAATGGAAAGGTTCTCACTTCTCACCCACAAAAAATACAAGAATATTTTCTTGAGTTTGGATTTTATTCAACATTTGAGTGCTTGTAGAAGAGGAACCAGTCAATGTTTCTTGAGTTCAGATTTTAATCTACTTTCGAGGAATTCCTCTCTCTCTCTACACATATATAGAATTGCCAACAGAGTACAGAAGGACACTGAAGGTTTTAGAAAACTTGGGTTAGAAAATTTTGAAATAATGGAAGGCGCATTATCTAGGTTCACATGATGCATTTGGTAGGCATCTCTGTGTCAATAAAAAGTGCATGTCTTAACATGCTTGGGCAGCGTTGATGATTATGCAAACCCAACTTATATACAAATTTATCTCACACCCAACTTATTTATGAATTAATCTCATAAAAAATAGGGGACCAGAAATGAAGACATAAGAGATGAAGGGAGATGGTCACAAATAAAGTTGAATTAATATATATATATATATATATATATATATATATAAGTAAAAATATATTAGAAAAGCGTTCAAAAGGGGAACACGTCCCTAATACAAGAAGAAAAAAGACCTAAGGACTAATAGCATCCAAAAGATCAAAGAAATCATCAATCGCGGAGCATGCGCTTCCTCTTACATAACAGAATGAACAAGCTTTGAATTGAAAACATGGCACTAACTTTACTGGGTTGCTGGTGATGCCTTATTTGATTATGAGGTGATAGGGAAATGGAATCTGGGTTGTGCTTCTAAGAGGTTTATGACTATTTCTGGCAGGCTGCACATCTATGTCTTACATGGTTCATTGGGAAGAAAAGGAACAGGCACCTTTAAGGATATGAGGATTCAATATTGGGCAGACAAATGGATTGTACAGTTGTGGGAGGAAATTTGGTAATATGGAAGACTAAAGAATGAAATCATGGTAGCAAGATCGAGTGCTGAGGCAAAATATATAGGAATGGCTCCAACACCATGTGAGATGCCTTGGGTAAAATCCCTTTTACAAGATATGGGTTTATCAAATGAAAATGATATGTGATAATGAAGCTGCTATACACATTGAAAGTAATCGTGTATTTCATGAGAGAACAAAACATATAGAGGTAGATCGCCAGTTTGTGAGAGACTTGGTGATGAGTAAAAAGGTAGTCACTTCTTATGTTCAGTCCAGATCTCAATGGGAAGATCTTTTTACCAAGGCATTGGGGGAGGCTCATTTTTCTAAACAATGTAACAAGCTGGGCTGGGCATGATAATGATATTTATGCTCCAGCTTGAGGGGCAGTGTTGGAATTAGTATAATAAGTGTTGGGGTCACATTGTAATTATGATAACATTGTATGACACGTAATGAGAGTAGCAGGCCCTAGTTAATTAGCCTCTCTTTTTCCTGTTTATGCATATTTTTATCCCCTTCTTCATTGTTTCATTCTTTCACAATCAGAACAACTTCCAAATTTCAAAATAACATATAATTGATCTGAATATTAGATAAATATAGTCCAAGCATCAGCTTGCAATATCTACAATTCAAGCCGGACCAAAATGCATTATGATAATCCATAAGTATGCAATTCAACAAAAATCTCTAACTTGTGCATCCAATTCTTTTTTATTTTTTCTCCTGATGATCATAATTTTTACGTCCTTCAATCCTTCAATCTTCATCAATACAAATTCATTGGGAATTAGATGAAAAGAAGAAACTATCACCTCAATCCCAGTGTTTCAATCAAATTAGATTGTCATGACTTTCTTCAGAGGTTCTAAAGAAGTAAGTTTCGGCATAAGAGGTTCCAATCACAAAAACAAAAATCAGTCAAATAATATGTTATATGGACAGAATTCAGAAGGGAAATTATATCCAAATAAGATATCAAGATACGAAACAACATAATGGAACAACATACTAGAAAGAGAGATCAATACAACAACACTACCTTCCAATAGGGTGAGTAGTTCCCTTCTCCATTGCAGCAGCCACAGCAAGAGCCTCTTTTTCGCAACTGGGGAAACAACAAGAAGCAAAGCTTTTCTCATTGTCTCTTAAATGTCCATGTATTGGTTCAATTGCTTTGCATGTAAACTCCCCAGTCGTCAATGTACCAGTTTTATCAAATGCAATAGTGTGGCAAGAAGCTAGAGCATCTAGTACATGCCCCCCTTTCAGCAATAACCCCTATTAAAAGAATCAGATTTTTCAAACATGAAAACAGGATTTTATTAAAACTAAGCACAATCTTTCAATGAATTCTTTCACATTCTACCACTATGGAAGTAACCTTTTGATGTTTCCTGTTAATCTAGGTAGATTTGGGAAGCACCATTCCCACAGCTCCTTTTGACGCATCCAGAACCTATATTACTTGTTTCTTCGTTCAAGGGGCCATGGATACAGCCAAAAGATCTGTGGAAATAGGCTCATTGCGTCGTTCGATGATTGATAAGTTGCAGAATACCGATAAAAGCCCACTTGTGGAATATCAAATCACTAATACAATCACATCCGGGGACTTTACTACTTAAAACAGACTTCACAAAATAAGGGATGCAATAATGAAATAATCATTTGCGCTCAACATTCTGCAATCGTACAGGAATTGTGTTGCCAATAATCATTTGTGCTCAACATTCTGCAATCGTCAAATTGCCAACAAAGACTTTGTTATCAACAATTATGTTTGTGTTTGAGCCACCGTTGATGTGGTAATTATCTTGGGTCGTGAAAGTCGCTGAGAGATGAAGGTGTGGAAGTGGATGAGAAAGAAAGCTAGAGAGAGAAAATAAAGAATTCTGGTTTCCATAGATGGAGGACTTAAAGGTACTCGAAAAGGAGCTAAAAAATGGATTTTAGCATACATAAAGATAAAAAAAGAACGATAGAACGTGCCATAGAGAGGAAGTGGAACATTTTCGAGATGGGAATCTGCTGGGCTAAAGAAGAATTCAAGATGATGATGATGATGATGATTGAGGGATTATGATGATGATTTCGATTGAGGGCTTCGGGTTGATGATTTGGCAGAGCTATGATAAGGGTGAGAAGAAGAAGATGGAGCTTCGGGTTGATGATTTTGCAGAGCTATGGAGTGGGAAGAAGAATGTGGAGCTTGGGGTTGATGGAGTGATAAGAAGAACATGGAGCTGTTGATTTTGCAGAGGGTTGGGTACGAAGAAGACCGCTTGTGACACATGAGATAAGGTACATTTGCATTCGGGGCAGGTTAAGTCAGGAAGGGCATTTTGGCTATATATTAATTTACGAGTTGGCACATGCTACTGTTCTGTTATTTTTTGACAGCAAACAAACAGAATGGGAGTGTTGTGATGAATTTTTAAATACTAGTGGAGTTTTTAGATAGTTTTTTTTGGTATAAGGGTTATATGACTGTTTTGAGATAGTACAGGGGGGTTTTATGATTTTAACCCCAGTATAAAATAACATTCTACGTATAAATATTATAAATGCTTTTGGCCTTGTGTTGCTTTTGAGGGATGCGTTCCCCTTTTGAAAGCTTTTAATGAATTCTTACTTATCAAAAATAAATAAATAAATAAATAGTATAAATGCTTAGGGCTATGTATCAACCAGGTGGAGCAAACAATTAGTTTTTTGGTTGACCAGGGTAGAAAATAACTAATACCTTTCTTGCACAAGCACTAATTGCAGTTGCATATGCCAATGGAGCTACCGCCAATGCACATGGTGATGCTGCCACCATGAACCCCAATGCTCTGTATATAGATCCTCTGCAAACTGCATGACTAACTCGGGTTAAAACAGTAGAACTGTGAACTGAACATTACACAAGATAGAGAAGACATCACCTTCTAATAAAAATTAGTAAATCAATTCATTGAAGGAAGTTATCAGAATATGTGGTGTGCTTCTGTGGAGAGAGATTTTAAGCAGCTTCAAACAAAGGCAAAGAAGTAAGATAGAAGCCGATTCAACAAAGCCAACCTATTCCAGTGTTGACGGACTGACAAATCTATTAATACACCCAATTCCAAGGGGTGCGGATATTAAAATGATGAAATTGGATATGTCGACATGTAGATGTTTTTATTGATATCTCCAGCAATATAGTATCAACATTGTGAAAAGATTATGATATCTCTAAATCCCTATTAACATCGACATTGGTATTAAAAATCCACAAATCTCCTTACGTATTTTGAATCCTGGTATTACCATTGATATCAAAACTCTTTTCCTTTGTTAAAATGTCTTGAACTTAATACTTATAAAAAAAAATATTTAAAAAAAGTCTGAAACTTGAACATATCAATCCATATTTTTCTTGCATCCCTTTAGTCAACGGCCGTCCTTATACCTTCTTGGCATTTAGTGTGGGTTGAAGTTTGCACGTCAACAGTCCAAGGCTGGTAAATGAGAGATTGTCTCCCTATTGGCCATCCAGGAGGCTTGGTCATGAACAAAGTTGAATTCACTGTTTTTCTTTTTAAATTTTAATACTATTCTACATTGGTAAGCTACTTGCCTTTTCCTTAGGGGACATTTTCTCTTTTGACAAGTCTTAAAAGCCAATACTTGGTACAATTCCAAAAGCTTGGGTTGACAGATGTGAGAAACATGTTCAACTCTAACCGCAGTCTCTTAGTGTAAATAATACCAGAAGTTCTGTCCTACTAAATCAACCCCTTCCAGCACCCCATATGGACAACATGAATATTTTTTTCCTTAACACATTCTTGAGATGGTTGAAGCAGTAACGATTGAACGAAAGAAAAACCTGCTTTATTTTTTTGGGTTAATGGGCGGAATTGTAAATCAATGGGAAATCTTTTGGATTCCGTGGATTGCTTGAAATTATAGTGTTGTCACAGGCGCCTTTTATATTCTTTTGGGAGCACACCCTTTTTGAGCACTTTTTTTTAATGAACTGAACTTATTAAAAATAAATAAAAAATTGCGCGAAAGAAAAATAATTAAAATTGTTTGCAACAATAAGAATTGCACCGGTAAGGTAAAGTAACATGGCCCTTATTGAGGGTAATGCTAGAGGAAAGGGAATAGCCAAACTAATAGGGTTGAGATCATTAGGAAAGATATGATAGCATGTGGTATATCTGATGTTATAACCTTTAATAGAGTAGAATGGCAAAACAAAATTCATGTAGCCAACCCAAATAGTTGAGAAAAAGCTATTTTGAGTTGAATAAAAGTAAAAGTGTCTACTAAAGGCACCAGAATGGGGACATGCACAGTATAAAAGAAATCAATAGAATTAAACTCCCTTCAGAAAATTCAAATATTCCATAAATGCCAAAGTGCATAATGACATCGATGTATATCTTAGCATCTCAACCTCCTCAAAGGTACCCCTATTCCTTTCTCCATATATGCCTTATGAGACAAAAAGGAATAGAAACACAAGCTTGTTTAGACTTCTTCTATACACGTATCACTGGGACAACAACAACTACTCAAATCAATGACCATGCACTGTATAACCTAATGAACTCCAAAATAGACAAGATCATAATCTATAAACTTAAACTAGCGGAGGATACAACAAGAGGATGTTAACTCTCACCTCTATCCTTTTTGCACAAACAATATCAAGTAGGGCCGTTTTCCTTCCCCCTTCCCCAAATTGTATATAATTAGAATAACCTCTAAAGCTGCAGTCTAACAATAAAGGAGACTTTGGAAAGTACTTTGACACTATTCAGAATCGAGAGAGAGAGAGAGAGAGAGCAAAACACAAATACTGTATATTCAACACAATCACCTAATAAGCCTTTGTAGGCTTATATATAAAGGGTACAAGTCTTGCATAATAACACAAGGGTCCTATTAACTAAATGTAATTACATAATGACCCAACATATATATATATATAACTTCTAACACTCCCCCTCAAGCTGGAGAATATATATCAAATAATCCCAGCTTGAAACAGATAGTTCTTAACCGATTATGACCCAATGCTTTGGTAAACATATCAGCTAATTGATCTTCAGACTTCACAAATGGAGTAGAGATGCTCCCACATAATATTTTTTCTCGAATGAAGTGACAATCAACTTCAATATGTTTGGTTCTCTCATGTTACACAGGATTCGATGCAATGTGAACTGCTGCTTGATTATTGCAGAACAATGGAGTAAGAGCTTCAACTGTCAACCCAAGTTCTTTTAGAAAATGTTGTATCCATGTCAACTCACTAGTGGTATGAGCTATTGCCCTATACTGAGCTTCAGCACTAGATCGAGCTACCACCGTTTGCTTTTTACTTCGCCATGTAACTAGATTTCCTCCTACAAATGTGCAGTAGCCTGTAGTAGATCTCCTATCTGAAGGAGAACCGGCCCAGTCGGCATCTGTAAAACCTTCCACCCTGAGATGACCATTTGGTTTATATAGTAACCCAAAACCTGGAGCTTGCTTGAGATATCGGAGAATCCGAAGAACAGCAATCCAATGTGGCATTCTAGGAGCTCTCATAAACTGCCTTACAACACTAACAGCATATGAAATATCAGGTCGAGTGATAGCGAGATAAATTAATTTCTCAACAAGGCGACGAAATCTGCCCGTGTCATTAAATAGATCACCCACATCAGTTACAAATTTTGTATTTGAATCCATAAGAGTATCAATCGGACGACCACCTAACATACCTGTTTCTTCTAATAAGTCCAACACATACTTTCGTTGGGATAAACTTATACCCGTCTTGGATCTAGCAACTTCAATACCCAAGAAATACCTAAGTTTACCCAAGTCTTTAGTGTGGAATCGATATTGCAGAAACAACTTCAACTTAGTAATGCCTCCAGAATCATCACCTGTGATCACAATATCATCCACATACACCACAAGAATTATAAAGCCAACTTTAGTGCACTGGTGAAATACCGAATGGTCAGTCTGACACCTGTGAAGACCAAACTTTAATGCTGCCTCAGAGAATTTTCCAAACCAAGCCCGTGGAGATTGTTTCAATCCATACAAGGCCTTTTTAAGGCGACAAACTGTGTGAAGATACTCCCCCTGAGCAACAAACCCAGGTGGTTGCTCCATATAAACCTCTTTTGCTAAGTCACCATGCAAAAAGGCATTTTTAACGTCTAACTGAAACAGAGGCCAATGTCGATTAGCAGCAAGAGAAATCAAAACATGAATAGAAGAAATCTTAGCAACATGGGCAAACGTCTCATCATAGTCAATACCATAAGTCTGGGTATAACCTTTGGCAACAAGACGGACTTTTAAATGCTAAACGGACCCATCTGGAAGATACTTCACAGTATATACCCAGCGACAACCAACAGGTTTGGCACCTGGAGGGAATGGAATAAGAGTCCATGTGCCATTCTTATGCAAAGCATCCATTTCATCTTGCATGGCTTTCCTCCAGCCCGAATCAGACAAAGCATCCTGCACAATCTTAGGAACAAATGTAGTAGACAACTTAGAGGAAAAACATGAGAATGATGGCGACAAGGAATTATAAGAGACATAATGAGCAATGGGATGTTTAGTAACACACGAGCGAGGAGCTTTACGAAGTGCAATCGGCAAGGAATCAGACACATTGGAAGGTGTCGGATCCAAAGACTCTGAAGATGATGGAGGAGGCACGACAGCAGATGGCTTTGGTCTTCTTTTGTACACCTGTAACAGGGCAGGTGAAGGAGAGCTAGGTTGAAGAGAAAGTGAGGGAAGAGGAACCGCAGGAAGAGGCGACTCAGGAGTGATATCAAGAAGTGAATCATTATCTGAAAAATATGGGATGGACTCACAAAAGGTTACATCCGCGCTAATAAAGTACCGTTGAGAAACAGGACTATAGCAGCGATAACCTTTATGAGAACGAGAGTAGCCAAGAAAGACACATTTTGTGGCACGAGGGTCTAGTTTATCAAAACCAGGACCAAGATTGTGGACATAACATACACATCCAAAAACTCTAGGAGGAAGAGAAAACAAGGGGGAATCAGGAAATAAGATAGAATATGGACATTTGCCATCTAATACAGATGATGGCATACGGTTAATAAGATGACAGGCAGTAAGAACAACATCACCCCAAAACCGTTTAGGCATACGCATATGAAACAAAAGAGCACGGGTTACTTCTAAGAGGTGTCGATTCTTACGTTCTACAACTCCATTTTGTTGAGGAGTATAAACACATGAATTTTGGTGAATAATTCCTTTATCACTAAGATATGTATCAAAGGGGTTTGAGGAATATTCCTTAGCATTATCAGAACGAGGAATACGAATTGGGCATCCAAACTGAGTTTTGACTTCTTTGCGAAATTTTTGAAAAATTAAAAATAACTCAGAACGATCTTTCAATAGAAACAACCAAGTCAGGCGAGAATAATCATCCACAAAAGTCACAAAATAATGAATTTATTAATTGAAGAATGCTTTATTGGACCCCATACATCTGAATGGACAGGACTAGAGACACGATTATTAACCCTAGACTTGAAAGACACGCGATGGTGCTTACTAAGTTGACAAACTTCACATGACAAGAATTTCAAATGACTAAGACTAGGAACTTGACGCTTCAAAACTTGAAGTGACGGGTGACCAAGACGACAATGCCACTGGAATGGAGACAGAGAAGACTGAAGAGCCATAGGATAAGGTTCCAAATCAAAATAATATAAGCCACCAGCTTCATGCCCCGTACCAATCTTCTTCTTCGTCTTGAGATCCTGAAACACGCAAGAAGTAGGATCAAATGTAACAGAGCACTGGAGAGA